AATGAATTTGGTGTTGACACTGCACATTCAGCTATATTAGTGTCCTGCTGGATGCAGTCTATTGTCACTGTGATCTTAAAATGGATCATGATGCACCTTTTGTTCCATCTGCAAACCATTTGACACAGCAACCCTCTTTTTATTGGTTGCCATGGGTTTGAAAGAGTCACTGAACATTCTTTGGCTTAGTTCTGAAGGGTCACTGGAGCATCAGTCCACAATATGGCAGACTGCACACCATTCCGTAATTGGGAAGTAAATGCTGTAATTGTACATACATGGCTTATACCTCTGCTTATATTTACTGCCATGAGGCAAAGCAAGGGTGCAGTGTTCTGAAACGAATTTGTGGTAATCTGTGCTGTATTATTTTTAGACAGGAATTTAAGTCATTGAAGCACTTGGGCTTCATCTAGTATTAAAATAAGTAATTTAGGCTGTGGCTTTTATTCCACCCTTTGGAAGCAATGAAAATAGTGGGTAGTGATTTTAGTGTGTAAAACATGGTGGTGATAATTTTAGTAATCTGCAACAGACTAAATCTCAAAGAGGAGGAGAACTGTGGAGTCAGTTCTGGGTACTAATTAGTGCCCAGCTGCTCTAATATTTAGTTGCACTTTGTTTCCTTCTCCTTTAGCTCATCATAGGCCAGATCATGCCCAGTGCTGTGTGGGGTTGAGGCTATTCAGCACCTACAGACTGAGGGTGTAAAAACTGCTGAATGCTAGAGCAGCAGCAAAGCCCTTTTTTACCACTTTATTAACTGAAGCAGTTATGATTGGCTATGCCAGAAAGACGAAACCACTCGAGCCTGCCCCTAGTTTAGATGTAGATGGGTTAAAAAATCAGTCACAAACACTGAACATTTTAAAAAGGAAATATAGTAAATAGGTGCTGTTCAGGGGATGCCTTTCTGTGCAATTCCTCTCTCTTCTTTGGGCAGCGTACATATCTTGTGCAAAGATGCCTAAAATATTTCCCCTTTGGTTGCTCCAAGACTGTTGTAAATTTTAGTGGCTGCAAAAGCCTCTGGGATTAGCTTAATGGTGGTGTTTGATAGTATGTAGAGAACAGAGCTGGGTGCATTTGGAGGTTGAAGATTACCCCTTTTCACACCTCACCTCTCTGCTGCAGAGAAGTTGCCCCCTCAGGTGGCGAGGAGACTTCTGAGCATCAGATGGTTGGTTACGTGGTTAGTGCAGTCAATTCCTCACATGTACTTCCCTGAAGCAGAGCATGGAGAATGCAGGGAGATGGGATCCAGAAGTAGGAAGAGAACAATTTGTACCTTGCCTTTAGGTGTGCTAGGACCCCAATACAGTTTTGGTGTCTGTGCCACAATCTTTATGGCCCACAGGTGGTTGCAACCCTTAATGCTGATACCATTTCATGTTCTGATCCTATGAATTAGTGAATAGAAATAGTTTCCTAATCATTTTGTTTCATATGGAGTACAGCTACTTTTGAAAGCTCAGGCCAAAAAACAAAATTCCTTAAACTGATGGGCGGTTTTAAAAAGAATTCCACCTCAACCCAAGATCTTCTGGTAACCACAGAAAAATCAAACACGGCTCTGAACAGAAAAGGTGAGGAAACCTTAAAGCAAAACCTGCAAATGGAGTTTGAGAAAGCAATGAACTTGAAGCAACACAGAGGAATTGGCCTTGGATTCCAGCCCATTGCCAACAAAAAGGTGTACATAGACAAATACGCTATTAGATCTGTTAAATTTGACTGAATTTTGTGGCAGCAATGTGAGGGGATGAAAAACCATTCAAACTTGTTGTCTAAATTTTTCTTTCTTGGAATGACACCAAGTTCAACAGCAAGTAGTGATGTGACAATCTCAGGGCACATGGGACTAATTTCTAACAGCTGAATGACAAGTCCCAGTGTATCCTCAAAGCAGTGCCGATATGTTCTTTGCTAGTGAGGAGAAAATCTCCTTCAGCAAAGGTTTCAGACTTGCAGCTGTAGCCCATGGCAGTTTAAATTTTGTAAATATTTATTTGGACTCTGAAGACTGCAGAATGTTTTTAAAATATTGTTAATACATTTTAGTGACTCGAGGGCAATATAATGGTTTCTTTCCTGTATTACAGTCTGTCCACATAAAATTCTCGTACAGTTTTCTGCAAGTGTGGTGCCAAATGGTCTTTAGCACTGAAAGAGACACAGGCTACTTTTTGTTTGAAAAATCTCATGTACTTTTTTTAAAATGATCAATAGGTTTTTTTTTTCCTTTTCAAAAATGCTACAGCCTGAATCATTTATACTTCCCAAGCTCTCATGAGTAACATTTTATTTCAACATCAAAAGTTCAGTTAGTGACTCCATCTATAAGGCAGCTCTACCAATTAATCTTGGTCATAATTTGTATGCACCAGTTAAGCAGGGCTAGACATGGATAGTAACTTATGAGACACTGAACTACTCTTGATTTCTTCTACTCTCTTTCTAACAAACATTGTTCACGTTGGCTACGTCTAGACTGGCATGATTTTCCGCAAATGCTTTTAACGGAAAAGTTTTTCCGTTAAAAGCATTTGCGGGAAAGAGCGTCTAGATTGGCATGGACGCTTTTCCGCAAAAGCACTTTTTGTGGAAAAGCGTCCATGCCAATCTAGACGCGGTTTTGCGCAAGAAAGCCCCGATCGACATTTTCGCCATTGGGGCTTTTTTGCGCAAAACAGTTTTTAGCTGTCTACACTGGCCCTCTTGTGCAAAAACGTTTCTGGAAAAGGGCTTTTGCCCGAACGGGAACGTCAAAGCATTTGCACAAGAAGCACTGATTTCGGACAGTAGAACGTCAGTGCTTTTGTGCAAAATCAAGCAGCCAGTGTAGACAGCTGGCAAGTTTTTGCGCAAAAGCAATTGCTTTTGCAGAAAAACTTGCCAGTCTAGACGCAGCCTGTGTGTATTTTGGTAGCTTTGTTTTAAAGGTGAAAGTCTGGTCCCAGTAAACTGGCAGAATTCCCAGTAGCTAGTGGGACCTAGTGTGGCCCAGACGATTTCTCAGAACTGCGCAACCCCACAAGGGACCTGCATGAATGAAATTCCTGTTTCTTAACCTTTGGATTAACTCCTACATGTAATGTTAGTCACATTTTCACTGGCTGTGTACCAGAGAGCAAAAACTGTATAAATGCAATTGTGTTACTCAATGTATGCATATTTGGAACTCCAGAGAGTCTGAATCAGAGAGGGTGGCATTGTCTCTCTGAAACTTGGGAAAACTGTATGTTAACTGGTTTAACATTTTCACTTAGTGTCCTGCCAATAGTTATTGGGATATGGGGGCAGGGAGGAGATGGGCTGATGTTGATAGCCTTGTTTGGTGAGGCAGCCTACTTCAGCCTCTGCGCAAGCTGCATGCACATTCCTCAATCTTTCCTTTGTTTTTAGCAGCTGTATTGTCATGAGATTTGTATATTTATGAAATCATTTTATTCTTTGTATCAAAACTTCATTTTACTGTAAGCCAGCCAATGGTTTTTGAGACTGCGTGTGTTCATTATTTCTCAATTAGATGTTTGTACTCACAACCCTCCACTCCACCTCTTCCCCAAACCCTGCCTCTCCCTTATTCCTTAACCCCTCCCCTGAGCAGCAAGGGGATTACAGGGACCTGGTGTGACAGCAGCAGAGGTCACACACCCGTTGGGTTGCGGGATGCGGAGTGGCCTGGCAGCCTGCTCTGTGCCGCACCACCCTTTCCACAGCAGGCTGGCAAAGGGCAGCACAGTGGGGTAGAGCAGGTTGCCCAGCCAGGTCCCTTGAACTCCAAGTCCCTCCCATCCATATGACAGTTAGGGCAGCCACTACAGGACCCCCAAAAGCACAGGGCCAAGGGCTTGTGCCCCAATTAGTCTGACGGACAATATAGCCCTCACTAACAGGATCAGAGTCCATGCAGGCATTTTCTGTCCTGCAGATTTACAGATCACTGTCAGCTCATATATGAGTACACCAAACCTGTGAACGCTAAACAGGTAGAGCAGACATTTAGCTAGAGAGCTCCCAGGCTTCCAAAGCAATTGAACCATGGGTGGAACACTACAAGACACTGTCGCAATGCAAGTAAACACATATTCCCATGTTTCAGTGTATTTGAGGGCAGGGTGAAGGACTGAGAATAGTTTAGCACTTGAACACCATCAGGATAATTTTAAGAAAGCCTTTAATGTATTAATTTAGACAGCACCACTGACCACTTATAATTCTGTTCTCAGGAGACTTTGCATTGCTGCATTTCCTTATTGAATAGCTATGATACACTTGCTCTTAGGGTTACATACCCTATACAATTACTTTTGAAAAATCTTATTTCCAATCTACATTTTTAAAAAGTATTAACAAATATCTAATACCATTCAACCCTCCGCATGAAAGCTGTTTTTCCCAATCCTCTCTGGCAAGTTGTGCATACCAACTAAACCATAAACAGCAAATGATGTAGTCAGTATTCATTGATAAGTCGAGCCTTTGCTATAATCACCATAGACTCAAAATTGCAGAAAAATCAGCGGTTGCCTGGCAACCAGAACAGTCATTCACCTCAACTGGCCTATCACTACAGTCAGCTTTTTTTTCTTAAATAGCAGTTAAGCTGCATCCACTTTAAACCCCAGCATGTGTGATGATGCACAAGTAATGGACACCTGCATTTCTTTACCACCTGCAAACACAGTAAAAAGCTGCAGTCATTGACTAAGTACCACTTATGCTCTCCAGCTAAACTAGTTTTTGAGAAAACAACTCTTTGGTTGAATAAGCGAGGCAGTTATCCTCAGCATGATGGAGAATATTTTGATGCCACCATTCCACCCCCGTAAGTGGTACACCTGCCACAGCGCCCAACTATTTCATTATACAATTTCATTCACACAAATGGACTTGTCACCTTCAACAAAAGATAACTTTTTACTCAAAATGCATCTGAGTATCTTAGTCATTCTTGGTTAT